TGAAGCAAATTGCATTGCAAATACTGACTAATTTAACTTCACAACACCCATCTGAAATAAACAGTATCTTGGCTTACAGACAGGGAAATCAAGGCATGGAAGGGGAAAAAGAAAACACAGAACCAGGAACAAACCCCCCTCTTTGTGCTTTAACTACAAAATCATCTTTCCTCATTAGCAGCTAATCAGAACTACCAGAGGGGGAAGAGATTGCAGACAGGGAGGAGAGAGGAGGAACTGAAAGAAATACAGACATCAAAACAGATTTTCATTTATTTACTCATTTATCACAGTGAGTCACAGGCTTTGAGTTCATTTGAGTCCGCTTTAGCCTTGCAGGATTTTGGGATGCTGTCTCCAAAATCTAAGAAGTTAATAGGTCACAGCCACACGCCATCTCAGGAGGGAGAAAATCTGCAATTTTGGGTCGGTCTCAGGAAGTCTGATATTGCTTTCCCTGCTGGATTATAAAAAAAAAACACACTAATCTTCCCTCACCAGCCTCCTAATCTTTATGGGGACACCTTATCTGGAACTGGCTTATGGAGCAGCACCCTGGCCTGTGGGGCAGGAGCTCGGGTGAAGGTTTGTGGTGGCTCTTGGACCTGGGGATCGGTGATGAGATTTGGCACCCACAGGGTGCTCCGTGCCCACCAGTGGGCAAATCCATGGCATGGGAGCAGCCTGGTGAGGACTAACACAGATGTCAAACATCAGATGTCTGCTCCTCATCTCAGCCACCTCCAAGCTTCATCTCAGCCACCTCTGAGCTGAGCAGCTCCAGGACGAGAGGGTCCAGCTGGGCAGAGCCCACACATCCCTCCAGCCCCCCTAAGGAGGTTTGGGGGCCTTTTTTTCCCCTCCTCTTTGCCCAAAAATTATTTGCAAGGAGTGATTTATTTATAACACCTCATCTTCAAACTTCTCTTTCTCTTATTTTATTTATTTATAACACCTCATCTTCAAACTTCCCTTTCTCTCCTTATTTCGTCCTGACTTTCCAGAAATGAGGAGAGAGCAGCATCCACCATTTATCCACCCAAACACAACTCCCAGCCTCTACACGGGGCTGTGTCTGAAGCCTCCAGAGGGGCTGAGCCCCCCTCACTCCCCCCAGCCCCAGGATGCTGGAGCAGGTCTCTACCTGCACAGCACATCTCCTCCGGCATTCCCGGCCCACGCTGGGAAACCAGGACCATCTTTTTAAATAAGAGGAGGAAATGGTGTCTTTGTGTCAGGCGAGTGGAAGAAATCCAGGACCAAGAGACTGCAGAGCCTTCCCACTTCAGACAGCAGGTGCTCTCCAAGATGTGGTTATGGCAACAAAATAAATGATGGATAATTGCTTTTGTGACAACTTGCCAATTAAATTAGACTCAGCAGAATAACATAATGACAATTTGTTATGCTCTGGTGGGCACTAACACACCAATCATAATTAAATGCTATGACTGAAATAGAATGCTGCTGTACACAGGAATATATAACCCCAATTCCCTCCCAGTGAAACATTATAGGTTCAGACTTGATTTCAATTTCTGGAGGATAATAGCATTAGCGCACATCAGAACGAGCTCGCAATATGCACACAGGCAGCAGCAGCCCAGGGAGACGGAGCCAAGGGCAACTGAGCCACAGGGGGCTCCTGGGGGGGCCCTCCCCAGCAGCTCCCATCCTCCGGGTTTCACAGCAGAGGGGACACCCCCAAATCACTCCCGTGTCCCAGGAGGATCTCAAATCACAGAATCGTAGTGGTTGGAAGGGACCTCTGAGATCATCGAGTCCAACCACAAAAAAAAAAAAACAAAACCCACAAACACACCCACCACCTAAACACACAACAACAACCACCAAACCAAAAGCCATCACCCACCTACCCAACACCCCACCACAAACCAATAACCTTGGGCACTAGAGCATGCCCTGAAGAGCCATGTCTACATGTTTCTTAAATACCTCCAGGGATGGTGACTCCACCACCTCCCTGGGCAGCCTGTTCCAGTGCCTGACCACCCTTTCAGTAAAGAAATGTTTCCTAATATCCAACCTGAACTTCCCCTGGCGCAACCGATACTTTGGCATTTATTGTCACTTTAAAAATAGCCCAGCAACTGGGGAGAGAGAAACCACCACACACAGCTCCGCTCCCCCCAGGAAGGAGCTCAGGGATTCAGCTCAGGAAAAGGTCAGGGGGCTGCTCCGAAATGGGGGGGCAGGATTTCAACAGCAGAGGAGAGGTTTGCCCGGCCACAAGGAAATTACTGGACTGCACGAGATGCCGGGCGAAGGCAAAGACAAGGTCATGTCCCTGGCTCTTGCCTCCAGATGCCAGGAGCTGCCCCAGCACAGGCAGGGGGCTCCCCCCGAATTCCCTCCCTGCATCTTCCACCCCACCGGCTGCACATCCCACTGCTTCCCAGGGGAAACTGAGATTTCTTTCCAAATAATTACAGGCAAAAGCTCAGATTTCTCCCCAGCACCACCCCACAGGCACAAGGCGAGGCGGACACACGCTTTTCACAGCTCCAGGCAGCACAGGGTGGGAGCAAACACCCCCGACACGACACCGCGGGGTCCCCATCCCCGCTGCCCCCTCCCGGGGGACACACCGAGCCCCCAGACCCCCCGGCAGCAGAGCTCGGCTCCCACCTAGTGGGGACCCGGCGGGGGCTCGGGGGGGCTGGCAGGTCCCCCCCAGCTCCTCCTGCCAAGCCCTGACCTTTTGCTGGCGGCTGGAGGGTAAACGCTTGATAAATAATAAATCGCCCACCCCAGGCTCTTGGCTCAAACCTTTTAATTGAAGCCTTTGAGTTACTCTAAGGTCAGGGTGATTGGCATTTCAATCCCGGGCCAGGAAATGCATCCATCAAAGACACACAGAACTCTCCTCTTAATTGTGTTTTCTCCTAATTGCACCAAATACCTGAGCTCCCTTCCTTTCCCCAGTACTCACCAGCAGCGCAGAGGAACATCTCGACCAGCTTCTCCATCCACAGCCACCCGGCTGGAGGTGTCCCCACTGCTGCAGCCAGCGAGTGACCTGCCCCAGCCCCCGGGCTGGCTCTGCCCCAACAATTAATTTCCTGATTTACATCAGGTGCAGGCTCCCACCCCCGCTCCCTGCCCCACTGAAAGGGGTCTCCTCCCTCCTACACCAGGTTTGCCAGCTAATTTGGCCAAATTCAGCTCAGCTGGGAGTACTCAGCCCCAGGAGGGCGGGGGGGGGGGGGAAACCACCCCAGTGACTTTTTCCAACACAGAATAAAAGAGGAAAATTAATTCCAACTTTCTTCTTGCCTGCTCTGCACAGGAACTCGCCCGGGGCACACCATGAGGCTGCTGCTCTACTCCATGCTCTAAATTTAATATCTTAGTGCTGGGAGTGCTTCAGATGACTAAGGGAAGATGCAGCCAAGCTCAGTGAAGAGGCGAGGATGAAGCCAGATCCAGCAGATGACAGAGGAAAAGGCTCTTTCAGTCATGTTGGCAATTTCTTAGAGAAGTGAGAACAAACAGGAGACCACCGGGGTGTGAAGGGAGTGAGAAATCTCTCATGTGTTACTGCATTTGATTTTAAAAGTGCTGTGAAGTACTTCCCTCTACAAATTTTTGGCAAGCCAAGAGCATCATCAACAGTTCGAAATGCAAAACAGAGTGCTCAAAATAAGATTTTTTTTTTACCTCCGTAAAAACCCATGGAAGGCAAAGACACAAAGCTGGAGAGCAGGAGACACGGAGTTGTCCGTCTCTTCCCTTGGGCTGGGGATAATCTCTTGGAAAAGCAGGCAGGAGAAGGGAAATCCACATCCCAGCTGCCAGGGGTTTCCTGCCGAGGGCAGCTCGCCCGGGTCCCCAGCCAGCAGGGACTGCTGCCACCCAGGGAAACCCCTGGCCAAAGGGAGCCGAGCACTTGCCACGATTTACTGCCAGCACTGCTTCAGACCAAACCCCATTTTAATGCATTTTTGCCATCTCTTTACCTTAAAATTCCTCCTACCGTTATCCAGCGGTTCCAAAACTTGGGTACTGGAGGTGGGAGCATCCATCACACTCACCTCCAAGGGGCTGCCAGGTCTGGATTTTAGGGATTCAGGCAGCAATTCCAGCTCCATGTGGAAGACCCTCGCTGAGGCAGGCGCTGGTGCCACCAGATCTCCAGAGCCCACAGCCACGGCCGTGCTGAGCCAGGGGGGTCTGCTCCACGGAAGAAAACCTCGTGCTCCTCAACAATTACAGAGCTGGGAAGGAAGCTTGATCTTCCAAGGATAATTGAGTAATTCCAGTGTAATTACATCGCCACTGGGAAGTGAATGAAGACACACAAAAACAAACCACGGGCATTTTTAAATCCTCCTTTTCTCTGCCACACAAGAGAGGGGTTTTGCATCAAATAGAGCAGAGCTGTCACCAAACTGCACCACGGAGGATGTGCCTGGGAGGAAGGTGCCAAACCAAAAGGAAATTCTCTCCTCCGCCTTGTAAGGGGAGACAGAGGGAGAGAAGATTTGTTTGACATGATTTATACCTGTTTGGCTTTGGTGGTGGTTTGGTTTTTTAAGAAGAAAATACAAACAAACAAGAAAGTGAGAGGGGAAACAAAACACAAACAAAAAAGAGAGGGGGGAAACAAAACACAAACAAAAAGAGAGAGGGGAAACAAAACACAAACAAAACAAAAGAGAGGGGAAACAAAACACAAACAAAAAAGAGAGGGGGGAAACAAAACACAAACAAAAAAAAGAGAGGGGAAACAAAACACAAACAAAAAAAGAGAAAAAGAAAACAAACAGTAATTGTTTTTTATATAGACCAAAGCCAAAAATCTTCAATAAAAACTACACTAGGCACCGGCATTCACAGGCATGGGAAGAATAAAATGCTAATTAGCCCAGGGAAGCAGGATCTGCCAGGTCCACAGCAGGACCCTCACCAGGCCCACACGAGCAAGGAGTTAAGAACCATCTTTACTACTGCAAATAAGACACCTGAAAAGGCAGAACTTCCAACTGTTAAAGAAAACATTTAATTTTTCACTTATATACTCATATTTTCCAATTCACCAATTTGAAATAACATTCCTGAACCTCAAAAAAGGGGATTATCTCCAATTTTGGGGAACATGTGCCCCACTCATGATAAGGGAAGGCACTGGAGCTGAATAACAGAGGCATTTCCTGCAGAAAAATGTCTGATAACCACCAAGTTGTGGAGGCAGAAATGCTGGCTCCTGAGCGGGTGACAACAGGACATCCCCTCCCAGGACACCACACGGCCGTTAGGAAGGATTTTCCTTCTGCTTTTCTGCTGATTCCGGCGTTTGCTCCTCCTGATCTTTCTTCTTTTCCTGTATCTCTTCCAACACAGTCTGGAGCTGCTGGTGTAACACAGAATCTCTGCTTTCAACACCTTGATGATCCTGCTGTGCAGTTAGAGACACGTGATCAACAACAAAAAAACAGCTGTAAAAAGTTTCTGTTGAAGTGTGACTGAAGAGAACAATGGAAAGCAACAGCCCCAGTCTGTATGCCCAGAAAAAAGTGGACAGAAAAATTCTCAGTCCAGAGATAAGTGGACAGTGAGGACAACAGAGAGTGTATTGCAAAGCAGAATAATAAATTAATTTAGCTAATGGAGTTTAAAACTGCAATACTTCTCCCTTCTTTTTGAGGGTGTTCAATCACAAGGCAGCAGTCTCAGAAGAAACAGTGATCAGTTAGTCAGGAACAAGATAAAATATTCCTACTCTACCAGATGTGGTGTTCTAGAAGCACCTTCAGTTTGGTTTATTACCCCATTTTATGTTAAGAATCACACAACAATTGCCTGAAGTAACTAGACTCCACGTGCCAGGAGCTATTTCCCCTCTTGTACATCAGGGAAAACAAAAAAAGCAGTGGCAGGAAACTTTGGACATCTACTTTCTTGCTAAAAATATAAGTAAACAACCCCCAGACTACAACCCCCTGTTTCAACACCTTAAAAATACAAAGTTAAAAAAACCCACCAAACCCCAAACTGCAAGAGTTATGCAAAAATTTCCAGCTCAGGATGAAGGTTAAAGAACAGGATTGAGAGTGCATTAAGGCAACTGTTAAAAAGGGATGGAAAAGTGTGTTAATCACCTTTGAACCACAAGGGATTCTGATTTACCCCCCTAGAAATAACATGTATATGGTAGCACATACACACATATTTCCAAATGACTTATTCAGACCCACCAATAGTTCTTTCATCACCAGAACAAACACTTCTCTTTTCTGTCCCACCAGCAGCACCTTAACCTTGGCACGTTCACGACTAAGAGGACAGTTTACTCTGCACACTAAAGACATTTTATTACAACCATCAGGCTCATGACTGTCTTGCTGAGAATTTAATTTCTAAATCCACTGGCAAAGAAACTTTAAATATTTAATACTTACTTTATCTGTTCCTTTTCTCTGTAAAATTATCCCACTGGCTAAAAGGGCTTTTCCCGTTTCTTCAAACAGTTTTTCCTCCTCGATTTTTCCTCCTTCTTTCAGTTCGTTGTATTTCTCGACAAACCTAGAGGCCAAGATCGCATTTTTACTCTCACACGTAACATTTTAGTTCACTACTGACCGAAGAGAAGAAAAAGACAAGTTTCAGAAGTACTTTCCGTGTAGCTATAAATAAATCTTACCTCTGACAAGTCGATTTGTGGTTTGGCTGCGACAGGTCGAAAGGTCTGGGACCACTGCCGTAAATTTTGTAAAATCTCCTATTTTAAGAAATGGAAGAGGGGAGGTGACGGCGGTGCTGCCTCGCCGGGGTCAGGGGCTGGTCCCCGTCGGATGGCGGGGCTCAGGCACCCCTCAGCGGCCGCCCGGGGAGAGAAACCAACAACTCACGCTCGCACTTCGTCCTCCCGGTAGAAGATGGGGGGGACGACGTCCTTCACCTTGCCGTAGCGCGGCCGCGGCACCCGGTAGACGGGCTCCCTCAGCGGGGGGAAGGCAGCGTAGACGTCGAACCACAGCGGCTTCTCGATCACCCCGATGCGGAGCAGGTTGCGGGTCCTGCCGGGGGAGAGGAGCGGCGGGGGGTGCTCGGGGGACGGCCCGGCCTTGCGCCTCCCTCCCGGGGCGGCCCGGCCTCACTCTCCCCTCGCCCCCCGCCCGCACGACACCCCACGCCCGCCCGACCGCCCCCCGCACCGGCTGAACACGCTCCCGATCTTCTGCATGCGGTTCCCCGCCATGGCGGCGGCCGGGCCTCCCCTAGCAACGCCGCCTCCCCTAGCAACCGCCTGCCCTCCCACCCGGAAGCGGAAATACTGGGGCCGCCAGGGCGCGCAGCCAACGGCCGAGGGGAGGTGGCGCCCAGGCAGCGCCGGTCGATGGCCGAGCGGCGACTCAGCCGGATTGTTTCCCCCTCCCCGATTTAAAGGGCCAGCGCTGCCGCCCCCTCCCAGGCTGCCCAGAGAAGCTGTGGCTGCCCCATCCCTGGAGGGGTTCAAGGCCAGGTTGGAGGGGGCTTGGAGCAACCTGGGCTGGTGGGAGGTGTCCCTGCCCAGGGCAGGGGTGGGAAACTGGATGATCATCGAGGTTCCTTCCACCCCAAACCGTTCTGTGATCCCAAGTTGTGGTTGGGACGTGGCTGAGACACCATGGAAGGTGCCTCACCTTCAACAGGGTGTGAAACCGAATGATATGTCCTATGTGCTCTTTTGCAGCAGCTCATTTAGACATAAGATATAGCAAAAACATAACTTCTGGGACCAAATTCCAGCCAGTTCCAGAAGGACAGGGAACTGCTGGAGAGGGTACAGCAGGGGGCTATGAAGATGATGATGGGCCTGGAGCATCTCTCTTACGGGGAAAGGCTGAGGGACTTGGGTCTTTTTAGTCTGGAGAAGAGAAGACCGAGGGGGGATCTGATCAACACCTATAAATACTTAAAGGGTGGGTGTCAGGAGGATGGGACCAGTCTTTTTTCAGTGGTGCCCAGGGACAGGACAAGAGGAAATGGGCACAAACTTGAACAGAAGAAGTTCCACCTAAACATGAGAAGGAACTTCTTTCCTGTGAGGGTGGCAGAGCCCTGGCAGAGGCTGCCCAGGGAGGTGGTGGAGTCTCCTTCTCTGGAGACATTCCAAACCTGCCTGGACATGTTCCTGTGGGACCTGCTCTGGGTGGCCCTGCTCTGGCAGGGGGTTGGACTAGATGATCTCCAGAGGTCCCTTCCAACCCTGTGTGATTCTGTGGACTGGTGGTGATGTTGGGCTGCAAACTGATGTGGGGGGGATCGGTCTCGCCCCGGTCGCCTTTCGGGGTTGGGTCTCAGAGGGAGAGCGAAGGGTGGGATTTGCCACCACGGTTGGCACCAGCCCTTGTCCTGGGGTCCCACCATGGCCTAATGCTGGCCTGGGCACCCCCGGCACTGCTGGCTGGGCCCAGGAGATGGCAGCAGACGGTGCCCGGCTGCCCAGACTGCGCTTTCCACCTCCATTTATCAAACCCAGCCGCTTCTCCCAAACTCTGTGCCCTGGAGGAGCAGGTTTCCCCCCATCCAAGGTTTCCACCAGCCCCACCTGGGAGACCCGGCGATGCCTGGTCACTAGGTGCAGCCCTTCGCCTGGGAATGAGCTGGTGGGAAGGGAAACGCATCCCTCCATCCACCTTCCAGCCTTGGGAAGGAAGGGGGCAGTAAATTTCCACCGCAGACCGACAGCCAGCGGGGACTCCATGCCAGGAGAAACCACCTCCAGCATCACCCCCTCGTCTGCCCACAGTTTCCAGCCCTGGGCTTTTCTCAGCTGTTGGTTTTCTTAACACGCATTTTAGAGAAAAAAAAAAAAAAACAACAAACCCAAAACAAACAAAAAAACCCCCAAACCCTTGCCCCCGTAGAGCAAAAGAATTCCAAAGGGAGATGCCGGGACCGCTCCAGGGCTCCATCTGAGCTGCTCAAAGGACGGGGCAGGCCCTGGGCTTTTCAGCTCTTTGAGAAATCCCTGGCTCCCCCCATGGCTCCCGGCAGCTCGCTTGGCCGCCGCGGGAAGGCAACAGCCAGGGTTTCTCCGGCATTTCCATGCTTTTGACATTTAAGGCAAGAACGCCTTGACTTTTTCCAGCATCTTCTTTTCACAGGGAAGGTTTCCAAGCCGCACGTGAGGCCGGGGAGCTCGAATCCCGGCCGGCAGCCCAAGGCTGCTCCCGCACGGCCAGGAGCCAGGGCGGTCTTTTCACAGGGAAGGTTTCCAAGCCGCACGTGAGGCCGGGGAGCTCGAATCCCGGCCGGCAGCCCAAGGCTGCTCCCGCACGGCCAGGAGCCAGGGCGGCTTTGGGGCATCTGCAGCCATGGGGGGGGGGGAGAAAAACTAGAGCTCACCTTTCCCTCCCCACCCCCATTTCTTTCTTTTCCCCCCTGTGAAGCAAAAAAAAAAAAAAAAAAGAAAATACAGCTGAGCATTAAGAGTACAACAGGACTTTATTATATGAATTACTATTAAACATCTTTAAGAAAAAAATCACTTATGGAAATAAATTCTAAAATAGCAACACTCACAAATGTCACAGATTGTTCTGTTTTGTTCTTTTTAAACCCTTTTGTATAGAAGTGATACAAACGTCACTGAGAATTGTACAGTTTTACGTAAGAAACGCATTTTGGCTTCCCAGCCGGTTTTAGTGGCCTTTTCTACTCGTTAGACCTGATTTTTTATTTTTTTATGTTTGTTTTTTTTTTTTTAAAGGACATAAAAATAATCACTCTTCATCCCCCATTAAAATGATGCTTTGTGGCTCCGAGATGTTCTGTGGTGGCTCCAGAGAGACACCGTTCAGAGGGACAGACCTGGGACGTGATGCCAAACGTGGCTCGCCCAGGGCCAGGGGCTGGCAAAGAGAGCTCCACGCTGGCCTCCACAGCCACGGCACGACGTGACCTGTCCTCTGGTGAGGATGAGGAGCACAGCAAACCCTCCCAGGGCTGGGCAGCGGGTGGACATGCCCCCACCACCCAGCACAAGCACTTCACTGCCCTCTCCTCCCCACTCTCCAGACCAACCCTCCGGTAACAACCTCCCGAGGGCTGGGGAGAAGGAGAATCTCCCTCCGGCCAGAGCCTGAGCTCCTGCCCGACCACCCGATGGTGCTTCCTGCCCTCATGGAAACTTCCCTGAAAGTTAAGCCCTTGGTAGCTACGAGGTGCTGGAACGTTGACGAGCCGATCCGGTTCCAAGTTTGGTCTTCTTCCAAATGTGCAGAGAGAGGCTTCGGACTGGGAGGGAGTAACGGCAGCCGAGGAGGACCCCGGAGCCAGGGGAGGGTAGGAAAGGAGCCCCTTCTCTCTCCTCACCCGTCTGGGGATAAAATTCCCACCCAGGGACAGAAGGACCTTCTGTTCCCAGCCCCAGCTTCACACTTAGCCCCGTGCACCTGCAGCCACGCTTGCACCCCCAGCCAGGTGGGGACACACCTCTCCAGGTGCCCGTTTTACCCCGCAGGGAGCAGAGCAGCCCGGTGTAAAGCTCCACCATGCCTCTCCAGCACCTCCTTCCACCCAACAGCCCGGCACGCAGGGCAGGACAAGGCCATCGTGGCTTGGGACAACCTCTGACCCATCGGCCGAGCTGCCACGACTCAAGGGATGCTCCTCTCTCCTCCCTTCCATAGAAAAGGAGCAGACACCAAAGCTGGGCTCAGCTCGGTGGCTCTTCTGCTCCTTTGATTTTAGGAATGCAGAGCTCACTGGGGTCCTGGGGTGCACCCCAGGCTCTAAGGGGGACACGACCCAGACCCCGCAGCCCCAGAGCTCTCAGAGCAGCCCCGGTGCCAGGCAGGGAGCGGGGAGGGGGGGAAAGCAGCGGGGTCCCCACCGATCCCCGCGACGGCAGCGACGCTCAGCAGGTGCGGAGAGAAATCCTGGCGCCCGCTTCAAAGGCACGCGGGGCTCCGGGGGGGGAGTGAAAAAGGAGCCCGTCGGGAGCCAAGCGCCTGCAACGTGGGCTTTTGTTACCAAAACCCCGCGGAGAGGCAGGGAAAACAGTTTGCGTGTGTGTTTGACGGCTGGGGCTCCTGCGTCTGCCGCCTTCGCAGCTCCCATCTTGCAACATTTGGGCTGGTTGGCGGGAGCCAGAAAGAGAAGCAGGCACGTCTCTAGGCACCTCCCGCCTTCAGCAGTAAACAGATTACACCGATAAAGGAGAAGAAAATGTGCTGGCGGGAGCGAATTCTGACTTTACGCTCGTCACTCATTACTTACACAGGGAAGGAATTTGTTTACGTAATTATTTTTAGCCTGACAGCATCTCCGAAAGCTGATTCAAGCGCTGCCACCCGGCCCCCCAATCCCTTGGGAGAGCTCGGGACCAGCCCCCAGCCCCACACCAAACCCGGCAGAACCCGCAAGCCCTTGTGCCAACTCTACAGTGCCCAAAAACGCCTCCACCAGCCTCGGCTGTGAACCCCCCAGCTCCAAATTCTCATCTTACCTACGGCGGGGGGACATCCCGGGAGCCACCGAGCGCCCTTGCCCGGCAGCCGGGACCCCGTCGGAGGGACGTGGAGCATCCCGTTTCGGCACAGGGGGTTAAACCGAGGGGAAATGCAGCCCTTGGTGCTGCCCGGTGTCCTGCCCCACGGGCGTCCTGCCCCACGGCGGCACCGGGGCGGGAGGGAGCCACGCCACGGCCCACAGAGCGTCCGGACTTCAAGGCAGTTTTAGCAATGCCGAAGGCAAAGGTTTAATTCAAAGTGAAACGCCTAGGAAAAGAAGGCCTTTCCTTTTATAAACAATTTATATTATTTGACTATTACCTGATCTGAATCTCCGCTCGTTACTCCTAGCAATAGTAGACAACAGCTGTTAGGTTCTCTCTCTCTCTCACGTGGTTCGTTGGGTTTTTTTTTTTCCTGTGTGTGCAGAGTAAAGTTACCTCAGATCGCTACAGAGATATGTTCAGGAGTGCTCCAGCCGAGCAGATCCCACGTGTGAATGCGTCCTCGTTAGTACAACTGATTTTCATTCCTCCTGCGACGCCGCTCGGACCCAGCGAGCAGGGGGGCTGCTGCTCCTCCCCAGTCTGAGCTCCACCGGCTCCTCCTCAGCAGCTCACAGCAGCTGCCCACTTCTTTTTTTTTTTCTTTTCTCCTTTTTTTTTTCCCCTTTTGGCTGATTTGCTAGATAGGAGAAGTTGTTTTCAAACCGCTGGTAAGAAAACATTGTGCCTCACGTCGATACTTGTACTTCAGAGGAGTACAGCAGCAGAGGGGGAACAGCCAAAAGAACGGGTTATTTGTCGGGTGGTGGTTTGGTTGGTGGTTTTTTTTTTATCCTTTTTCAGCCATCTCCTTGGGAAGCCTCGGGCACGTTCTGTGCCAGCAACAAACCCCAGCGCTGGGACCTGGAGGGGAGGAGAAGGGGAGGGAAGGAGAACAACACACGCTCAGCCTCAGCCACACCATGGCCAGCACTTGCCCGTTGTGGCACCCAGAGCTGTCACCAGCCACAGCACCTGCTGACGGGGCTTGTCCTCACCTGGACACACTCTGGACCTGACCCAGAGCCCCCAGGACAGATGCTCACCCCAAGTGCCTCTCACCGTTTACTGCCCTTCCTTCGGCGTCTCCTCTTCCTCCCGGAGCTGCTGCCTCCGCGCTTGGAAGTCTTCATCTAAAAGGCAGAGGTGGGGAGGGGGTTGCAGGGGCTGCAGCACCTTCCACACCAGGACACCGGCCACCAGTGCCAGCCCCAGTGGGAAAGATGCCCACCCCTTGCCCCAGGACAGGTATTTCCTTGCCCGGACAATCCCCCCAGACTGGGACACGGGGACTCTGAGAACACTGGAAGGTGGTTTTGGCCCATTTCTGCCACATGGTCACACCGGAGCCAGCCCCCGGGGTTGGCCCAAAACCCACTGCCAAGATCCAGCTCTGTGCAAACCTGGCTGGTGACGGCTTTGCCAGGACTGTGCCCTGAACTACACGTCCCACGGTGCTGCAGAGACCAGCTGCCAGCCCCCCCGAGACTCCCCAGAAGAGATCCCCATCTCCAGTCACCCCGGCAAAGCGCAGGAGAGACAGGTGGGACCAGGGGGGAGCCCGTTGCATGGGTGGCCATGCCCCAGGGTGGTCCCACTGGAAGCCCACTCCAGCAGGAGGACGGCGTGGGGCAGGACAGGGCCGGGCACCGTGGGCCCCCAGGTAGCCGTGCTGGGCAGAGCATCCCATTTCTTACCACACGAATGTCCTTCAACATCGTCGAGAAGGTTTGCCGTGGAAGCCGCCGTCCCCATCCTGTGCCCTCCGCTAAGGAAAACCAGTTGTGGGGCCGGGACACGGCTGTGGTACCACCATCACCCTTCCCAGCCCACGGCACGGCCCTGAGAAGCAGTCTGGAGGTTCCAGACAGACCGTGGCCTCGGGGAGACCCCAGGAACACCCAAGCAAAGCTGCTTTGGTGGCCCCACACCCCCCCCACAGCTCCCCAGCCCCTTTTAGGATACACTTGGTGCTTCAACAAGTGTTTTCTTTTTGATTTCCTCATCTTCGTCTTCTCGGAGAAGGCTCTGGCGAGTTCAAACAGCTTTTTGCGCGTGGCTGGAGGGAAGCAGCCGAGTGAGGGTCTCGCCCCAAACAAAACCCTTCCCAAAGCTGCCGTGGGCGATGGGGGGAGATGGCCAGTGGTGTGAGAGCCATCCCTGCCCCAACACCCCACAGCAATGCCCCAGGTTTGCCTGGAAACACTGGGGCCATGCAGAGCTGCCAGGCTCGGAGAGATGGGTCCTGTGACAACAGGGACAGGGTGGTCCCTGGTGGGGGGCGCTGACATTTTTACCTTTTCCCTGGGATTTTCGTGACCTTCCCCACCCACGACTGACCCACATCTCCCCAGCGTCTCAGCTGGCTCAAAGCTGCCCAAAGACCTTGTTTTGTGACGGGAGAAGTGAACTGTGACTTGCTCAGAGGAAAAGATGGGAAAAGGCAGAGTTAGAGCAAACCCTCTGCTTGCTTTTCTGGGATTCACACAAACCCTGCTCAGAAATTCCTCTGTTCCTTGACGCCACCAGCATCCTCGACTCGTGCCACAACCCAGAGGTGCACCAGGGACAGACGGACAGCATGGAGCTGGGGCATCAAGACTCAGGTCTCCGTCTCCTGGCTGGCACCCAGCCCCGGCGTGTGGCACGGGAGCCCCCTCCCACTGGCAAGGGCCAGGAGGAGAGCACCAAGGGCCAGAAGGAGAGCACTGAGGGCCAGGATGGAGCACTGAGGGCCAGGAGAGCATCATGGGGCACTCACATTTTCCCATGTGTTTCAATTTGTCTCTGAATAAGGCATCGTCAGACACGGCACCGCCGGCCTCGCTGGTTCCAGAGGGGGCTACGTCACCTGGAAGGCAAACATCTGGTCACCAGGAGGGCGTGCGTGGTGAGGCTCTGGACAAATCACTTCCATGACCCAATTCCAGCCCTGCCAGGAGTGGGGCTGAGTGAGACCATGAGGGACAAGGGCACGGAGGGGCTGGCTCTGGATGAGGACACCCTGCAGATATAACCCCTGAGATGGTGGGGGCAGAGACCTGGGCTTGCAGCTCACCCCCAGCCCCATGGCAGGGCTCACCTCGAGTGTATGTGGGGCAACCAGTCCCACCACCAGCAGAGCAGGAGGCCCCAAATTACCATGGGCACTGATTGCATAGAATCATAGAAGTGTCTGGGTGGGAAGGGACCTTTCAGATCATCGAGCCCAACCATTGACCCAACACTGACAAACCCACCCCTGACCCGTGTCCCTCAGCACCACGTCTGCCCGGCTTTTAAATCCCTCCAGGGATGGAGACTCCACCACTGCCCTGGGCAGCCTCTGCCAAGGCTTAATAACCCTTTCAGTGTAAAAATTGTCCCCAATATCTATCTTAAACCTCCCCTGGAGCCTCTTGAGGCCATTTCCTCTTGTCCCATCACCTGTTCCTTGGGAGAAGAGTCCAACCCCCCCTGGCTACACCCTCCTTTCAGGGAGTTGGAGAGAGGGCTCTGGGTATTAGATTGTGCCCACGCTCAGTTCCCAGCATGGCAGGACCACCGGATCAGGAGCAGAAGCTCAGGCATCATCAGTGACTCGGTCAGGTGGACCAGAGACCCCCACAGCCACGTCCTTGTGCCCCCTCCCCAGGTCTGGGTGCCCTGGAAGCACCAGCTGAGGCTTGGCCACTGCACCTCGGCTGCTCCCGCACGGGGACATCCACAGACACCAGCTCTAATTCCGCACCCGGGCAGCTGCTCCGCTCCCCGAGGTTAATCAGGATTACCCAGGAACAGTCCTTATGTCTCCCGGGCACAATCCCGTGGCCAAGACAAGGCAGGGCTTTGTCTCCTCTGGGAACTGGATCCCGGCTCCCACCCGCAGGGATGGATGGAGACACCATCCACGTGGGGAGGGCAGGGAGGGCAGCAGCACCCAGCCCCATCACCCACCAGCTCCTCTCCCATTCTGGGGGGGCAGCGGGGAGGGATCAGCCGGTTTCCCCCCAGCCAGAGGTGGTGGGAGAGGGCTGGGAACAGAGGAGCTGCTGAGAGGTGACGCTCACACACATCTCAAGAGTTACCTGATATTACGGAGGAGAAACCAAAGTCGTTGCTGACGGCAACGCTGCTCGACTTGGATTTTTTCGACTCATATTTCAATCGATCTGAAAAACAAAAAGCCCGGTGCCCTGCTCGATCAGGCCCCCCAGGCAGCGCAGGCGGCTCCGCTCCCCCCTCCTCTCCCGGCCCCACGGCTGCGGGGGGACAGCTGATGGTGGGGGACAAGAGTGACCCACAGCAGCTCGGCCACCACAGGAACAGCCTGACCCAGCCCACCAAGGTAACATGGAAGCACCTCCAGCCCAGGTCCACCCTGCAGCAGCACAAGGAGTAGAAATGAGGTGGAAATGATCTATCAAAAAGCTATAAAAGCTCTCCAAAGGTGTGCTCCTTCCTGAGGATGCACTTCTGGCCTCTGCTGTGCTCCAGGGACAAAAACCATCTCCCCTGCCACATCTGGGGATGGAGGACAGTGTCCTCTGCGCCCGGGTGGGCTCGGCAGGGCAGCAGCAGGGCCAGAGATGAGCAGAGGAGGAAGGCAGCCTCTTGCTCGGCGCTGGAAGCCCTTTGCCTCAGCAGGGCAACCACAAGCACTCTGGTGGGAGCCCGCAGCAGCAGCAGGACCGCTCCTCTCGCCGCCACAGAGGAACTATGAGAACACCACAAGCACACTTGTGGTTTTACAGCTGCGGCAGCCGGGGACAAGCCCTGCGGTGAGGGTGCTGCCAGGACCCCAAAAACCTCCAGTGAGACCTCTGAGGGTCTCGGCCAGGGAGGGGAAGGGGGACTCTTTGCTCAGCAAAACCATCGACACCCTCCAGCCCTCCTCCCCAGGGCTGTTGGCTCACCTGGAAGGAGCAATCACAGATTCTGCTGGGCTTTGCCAGAGCCACCACAGAGAGGTGGGCAGGGGAAGGAGAGCCTCGTGGCACCAGAGGAGCAGCCCAGTGCCCAGATGGGCCACCAGCCTAGCTCCATCCTGCACTGGCTCTGCTTTGCCACAAGCCACGATGCCACAAGCAAGGCAAGGCGGGCGGGTGGGCCAGCGTCACAAAGGGAAGCACGAACCCAAAAATCGGAGGGAGATGTTTCTGAAGGCGCTTCTCACCTCTCTCCAGGGCCAGGAGGAAATCCCGGTTCCGCTGGAGCTCCTTCATGAACTCTTCGTTCTGCAGGAAGAGCGCGATCCGCTCGTCCTCCAGGTACTGCTTCCACCGCCGCTCCTGCTCCAGGGAGCCCTGGCCCCGCGGGACCAGCCCCCGCGGCACGGGCTGCCGGCTCCTGGGGGAGCCCTGGGGGGAGAGAACACGGGCAGAGCTTGTCAGGGGTCTCAGGGCCCACGGGTGAGGAGCACACACCCCTCAGCCTGAGCTTGGCCTTTTGCTCCTCTATTATGCTGCTGCACCCCCAGCACCTCCAAAACCACCACAAAGCACACGAGGATTCTGATTTCCCAGGGGGAAATTCTCTGGTTTGCTCTAGATTTTCCACCCAAGTTCCACCTCACCAGCCCCCGAGCGCCCTGGCAGAGCCGCTCTCCCCAGGAGCGTGTGCTGGTCCCGCTGCTCCTCAGCAGGGCAGCAGATAAGATTTTCAAATAATTTAAAATATTAGGTGCTTATTGCAAGTGGCGTTTCTGACACTAACTGCTGGGCTAAGGGCAGGAAAACCATCAAAGCCTGGCTGGAAGATTCCCCTTTCACACCTTCCTCACTCCAGTCTCGCCTTGAACAACAAGAAGTGCTCCAAGATGCTCGGTTTAGTCCATGCCCGGTACCCAGGCGCTTTCAGAGAGCTGATGCTGCAAGCTGAGGGTGGTCGAGGATGGGGTTTGGTGCTCCATGGTGCACTGTGGAGCTGGGATGTGGGCTGGAAGGGGTGATGAGCCTCACCTGTGTGCTGGCTGTCTGCTGGGGCAGGATGCGCAGGAAATCCTCGGGGAGGTTGCCCAGGAGCGGCGGGTTCCAGTTCCTGTAACGCCCGGGTGCCGGGGTGCTGCCGGGTCCCGTCACATCCGTCCTGCAGGACAAGCACAGACAGTGTTCTTGGGGAGGGAGAAACCCACCAACGTGTGCCACGGCACGGCAGCCCCCGTGCCCAGCTCCACCAGTGGTGATGGGAACCAAGGAACCACGGCACACCTTCCAGACCCACAGCGTTAGCGTTGGCTCTGGGGAGCAGAAGGCTTTCCACGCCAGTTTGAAATCTCTGGGAGCTGCTGGACTTCCCTCCTCCACCCCATTTTGCTCAGATTCCCAGCAAACAGCCCTGTGGGAACCCTGGCAGGGCTGGATGGTGGTTACAGAGCTGATGGACATCTCTCCCCAGATGTCACACCAGCCTGAACACCCGGCAGCGCCTTCGGCCAAGGTGGGGTGGCACAGAGATGGCCAGGGCACTGGCCCCTGCCTCCCCGCCAGCCCCGAGCCCACAGCTGAAGGGGTGCTGCTGGGGGACAGCCTGCACCCCGCGGGGCCACAGACCCCCCAGCCTCAGCAAGCCGGTGGCTAGAAGCCAAACCAACCCCAGGTCGGGGCCCCGGCTGCCCAGCACCTGGTGTTTTTGAGCGGGGGCGAGCGCTCCCCGCCCCCAGTAGCTGATTTTTGCCATTCCAAGCGCTGCTGGAACAGCTCTGCAGGCCCTTCAGCTGTTGGGTTTTTAGGGCCTCGCAGGGAATTCTCAGCCAGCTGCGAGCTTCACTCATCGCCCTCGGCTTCCTCGCACCCAGCCCTAACGAACTGATGCCAGATGCCCCTTGCCAGGGCCAGCTAATGCACAGCGAGACCCCCGGGCACTGGCACAGGGTGATTTCATAGAATTATGGAATGGTTTGAGTTGGAAGGGACCGTTAGAGCCCGTGTAGTCCAACCCCCTGCCATAAGCAGGGACATCTTCAACTCAGTCAGGTTGCTCAGAGCCCTGTCCAACCCAACCTGGAATGTTTCCAGGGATGGGGCATCTCCCACTTCTATAGGGAACCATAAGTGTCTCACCACCCTCAGCATAAAATATTTCTTCCTTATATCTAGTCTAAATCTTCCCTCTTTTAGTTTGAAGCCATCCCCCCTTGTCCTATCACAACAAGCCCTGCTAAAAAGTTTGTCCCCATCTTTCCCGTAGCCCCTTGAAGTACTGAAAGGCTGCTAAAAAGCTTGTCCCCATCTTTCCTGTAGCCCCTTGAAGTACTAAAAGGCTGCTCTAAGGTCTCCCTGGAGCCTTCTCTTCTCCAGGCTGAACCCCCCCCAACTCTCTCAGCCCCCCCTCCCAGCAGAGGGGCTCCAGCCCTCCCAGCATCTCTGTGGCCTCCTCTGGTCCTGCTCCAACTGGTGTCCTTCTGCTGTTGGAGGCTCTAGAGCTGGAGGCAGCAGAGGGTGGGGGTCTCATGGAAGAACAGTTATGTCCTTTTTTCTGGCTGCCAGGAGCAGGAGGTGGGGGGCAGCCGTGGGGCTGGGGGCTCAGCCGTGGGGCTGGGGGCTCACCTGGGTGGTGGGGTGGGTGGTGCGCGGGGGTAGCGGCTGCCGAACGCCTGGCTCTCGTAGGCAGGAGGGGAGTAGACAGGAGGGGGCTCCTCGTCCGAGCTGTCCGGCTCCAGGGTCCGCTCCAAGATCTGCGGAGCGAGAGGACGGGGTGAGGGTGAGCTGGGGAAACACTCCCCACCAGGCCAGGCCCCCACACCTGGCAGCAAAGTGGGGATGGGACTGGTTGGATGCTGCTGTGGAGACGACGGGGACAACCTCCCAGCACCGGTCCCCCACGGGGTTGGGAGGTGCTGCTCTCAAGGGATGAGACACAGCATTTTGGGTGGGTGGGTGAGCCTGTCCCTGGGTGCACACAGCCCTGGGGGGCCCTCTGACAGCAGCAGAAGGGTCTCCAGTGGGTTTGGGGTGGGAGGGAGGGATGGGAGCACTTTGGCTTGAGCCTCAAGCACTGTCCAAGACAAACCATCCAGGATGCACACTCCAGGTGGGCCGAATCGGGCACTCAAATCTCTGCCCACCTGCAGTAGCACCATGCCCAAGCAGATATGAAGCAGGATGAGACTGAGCTCCCTGCTCACCATGGTGGCCAGGAGCCCAGGCAGGGGACCCGCCACCCACAGCCACGTGCCGGGGACCATCGTTGGGGGCTACCTCGGGGGGGATGCTGTCCTCTGAGTCCGAGCTGTCATCGCAGCCGCTGCCATCCAGGTTCATCTGCAGGAGCTGGTCGATGGTGGCATCCACAGCCCCGTTGTTGGCCCTCAAGACGCACTCGATGATGTCGTAGTCCATGTTGGGGAACATGGTCTTGAAGTCCTCCATGGCCTGGTTGAACTCCAGCCGGCGGACCTGCCTGGCGGGGCGGCTGTTGTTGAGCTCCTGGGCGGAGGAGCCACCACCACCACGTGAGCTGCCATTGCTGCTGCTCCGACGGAAGAGGCTCGTCATGGCGGGGCGGATGGCACGGGGCGGGTGGCAGGGCGGCTGGGGTCCCGGCGGGCACCCGCCGCCGCTGGTCATGGGGCACCGCCCCGGTGGGGGAGCATGGGGCGGGCGGCGGGGGGTCCCGCTCCCCGCAGCCGGGGTGGCACCGCGGGTCAGCCCCCGGCACGCTGCAGCATCCTCCCACCTGCGGAGGGGAGAGAGAGGGGAGAATGTCAGCTACAGGGCAGAAGTACCCCTAGATCCCCGTCTCAGCGGGGGACACTGCATTTGTGGTTGGACTCGATGATCTCGGAGGTCCCTTCCAACCACTAAGATTCTGTGATTCAATTCAACCCATCCGACCACGTCCCCACGGGACTGTCCCATCCCCGAGCTCGGACACACCGTGCCCGGTGCCATACAAACAAAACACAAAGCAAGAAAAACACCATTATTTCCACTGCCCAGGGCTCCCCAGATTTAACGCTTCCAGGTTTGACATGTAGGTATAAACCACGGCAAAATCTCTCTTTAAAATAAACCGTGGGCTCGGAGAGTTTCAGAGCAGGGGGCTGAAACACTCAGCAAATCGACCCTTGGGAAAAGCCACCAAATCCAAGATTAACATTCACTTTAAAACCATAAACAGATTATACAGCTACTGCTTCTCATTTGGAAATGCAGGGCCAAATTCAGCGCTGGATTAACTCCGCCGTCGAAACAGAATTACCCCAGGAACACTTTTGATCCATAATATCATTTTCAAAGGCTTTTTCCTTAAGCGGCAGGCGGAGGGTTCAAGATGACTGTCCCTAAAATGGTATTTAATGCAGAAGAACACGCCAAGCACATTTCTTAGCGAAAGGGGGTATAATCAGATTCAAAGCCATTAAGCGGAGCAGTCACCTCTGAAGGTGACCCGGGCTCTCCCCTGCCTGCAGCGAGGCCATGTGTGACAGCCACGGCCCCCTCTCCAAGGGGCTTCCAGAGGCTGCCGAGAGCAAAACGCACTTATAAACCTGGGAAATTGGGCACAGACTCCGGCAGAAGGTTTATTTTGCGATGCTGGTCTCATCCCCAAGGGCCAGCCCGGCCCCACAGCACCCAGAGGAGCTGCCGACACCTCCAGAGGATGGGGGAACGATGCTCCGCTCTTCCTCCGTGGCTTTTTTGTAATCCTGGATGTGTTTCCTTTCACCGAGCGTGCTGCTGAGCCCCGTGAGGGAGTCCAAATGGCAGCCCCAGCTCAGGGCAGTGGTCCCTGGGCTGAGCTCAGTGTCACAGGTCCCTCCAACGGATGCTCCTGTGGGACACAGGGTGGTCCCACCACAAACAGCCCTCTCAGGGACACCACGTAGCCAGGATGGCACAGGATGCTCTCCCACAGGTATCCACCTCCACTTTCTCACCGCTCAGGCACCGGCTCCTGCCAGTAGCTCACCACTTAAAAACCATAAAATAAGACTAAACAAGGGGGGAGGCTCACCCCGGCGAGCCCATGGGTGCTCCCTGTTTTTTCTCCTGCCCGAGCCACTTGCACAACTCACATCCACTCTCGCCTGAGCCAGAGCCAAGAACAAAACCTCAGCAGCCACGGAGAAACCCTTAATTACGCCCATTGGGGGGCAGATAAGGCGAGCACAGCCCGGGGGAGCACGTCCTCCGGCATCCTGCCTCTGCAAAGCTGGTTTTCACCCAGCCCTGGGCGTGGGGCACTTGATATCTTGCAAAAAAAAAGGATTTTTCATGTTGAAGGACGGCCTGAGAGGCTGCGGGCGCTTCGGGTGAGCTCCAGCCGGGAGCAAGCACGGAGGAGGCTGCCATCAGCCCTCAGCCATCCGGGAACGGCAGCTGGATAATCCCAGGGGTCGGCGGAACCAGTAACGTCATGCTGGAAACAGCAGTTGCTGGGCTCTGGAAAGCAGGCAGCCCCGACGGAGGAGCTGAACAGCTGTAAAAGCAGTGGGACTGATGGCTCGCAGCCCTCGCAGCTCAGGGAAGAGCCTTGGCACGGAGAGCAAACGCGAATGTTCCCTTCCCCAGTGTCTGCTGCAGCTCAGACAGCAGATGGGATTGCTCAAACACCGCGAAAACAGCCCAGCCCTTTTTCCCCCTGCTATTGCCACGCTGTGTTTGTAGATCCTACAAACACTCCGGAGCCACGACCCTCATTTTGGGGAGGGTGACACCATCATCGATCGCTTGTCCCCCCAGCCCAGGGCTCCCCGAGGGCACCCATCGCTCGGCGGCTGCGAGCCCAGGCCTGTGATGTCTGGGATGATGGACACAGAGCAGACGAGCAGAAGGAATTTCCAGGCACCAGATTATCTGGAGACAAGGGCTGCCAGCGCCCCGGCTTCTGGAGGGAAGACTCTCGCAGGAAATCTCAAAACTGGGGAGGTTAAACTAGAAATAAGAGCTTTGGCCAGAGCAGATTTGCCGAGCAGGACACAGATTTGATACAGGAGTGAGAAGTCCAGGAATGTGACTGCTCGGTGGCTGATGGTGTGACTATAATAGGATTGAAATCGGGATGATTGGGAAGAAAAATCAACAGTGCTGTCTACCAACCAACGGAAAGGCAGAGCACACCCTGGGGATGTGCAGGATGGGGCCTTTGCAGCCTCTCCAAAACCCCCTCCATCACCTCTCTGTCGGCCTCAGGGGATGCACACACACCCCTCCCCGCCATCCCCTGGGAAAACTGCCTGCCAGCAAATCCTTTTCACAGAAACAAATAAGCACCT